GGCGACTCATTTGCTACTGTGTAGCACCGCTCCTATCTTTTACACCCTTACTCTCATCGGTCTAGCATTACCCTATTATTGACAAATTTCTATAGCAACGAGTGACAATAAAAGATTGTTTTTCTCAACACGGCTTGTTCTTTGTACTGCATCTTAATTATTCTCTCTTGCCGGCTCCCAAAAGAGTTTTCTGTGGGCCCGTTGCCTTTACAGCTTTGTCAGAAGAGGTCCGTAGACACCAGCATCCATCCACGCTTTCAGGTCAACGTCGTACGATTACGGCAAGATGACGGCTCTTTCAATCGGAGTTCTTATATTGTATTTTTAATGAATTTATGTCAAACTGCTTATTTAAAAAAAAAAAAGCCCGCTGAGTTAGTTTCGCCGGTTCTTCTCAGTACAGTGGCTTTCTTTTCCGAACCGGTGCTAGTGTTTTGACTATCAATAAGTGAGTGTAATGCTCCTCTGTTGAATAAAGACATTTGATTTTGATCAAATATATGGCCAAATCCTGAAGGTTACACATAACAGAGCCATATCCACAAATAAAACTGTTATATAAAAAAATATAGCGCATTTATTACTGTGTCTGTTGTACTAATTTTAAATATAGATTAAAATTAGAATTATGAATACGAGATAACTTGCAATTATCTTTCAGAACCTTCGATACTTTGAGTATACACAAGTATATAATTAAAGCTTCGATACTTGAATTTATGAATTTCTGCATTTACGATATAGATAAAAGTAAAACAAAAAAAAGTTAACAGTCGCATTAATACTAAAATCTAGTTATATATTTTAAATAAATTTGTATGAAAAGACATTAAAAGTGGAAAATAAAGAATTCATTTTAAATTTATATGTACTCTAATAATCCTTACTAATACTACAAAGGTGAAAGTTTGTATGTATACATGGACGGAATGGATTTTTATGAAACTTTACAATAACAAAGCTTTATACATCAGAATAAGACATAGGCTATAATGTATATACATGTTTTATGTATATATGTCTATCTGTCTTAATGTTACTCCTTCTAACTTACTCTACGCAGACTTAGTTGCGAGCAGCAGCTAGTAAATAATAATTTAATGTAACTTTTTAAAATACCAATCCGATATTGAATAATTTCTATTGATGTATCAAAATATCGGCTAAAATGTCGATTTATAAAATCAAAAATATCGATATATCGATATTTTGTTGACATCCCTATATCTGTTGTTATACTCACACAGGTACACAGGGTTGCTAACTTAGGGGTTTTGCCTTCAAATTTAGGGGGTAAACAAAAGAGTAAGAATTTTCTTAGGAGTGTTATATTTTTAGGGGCTTTTTGACTTAATACATTTTTTTCTTGTTATTTGACTAAAAATGATAAAGGTATTAAAAAAGGCCTGGAGTAACGCAACCCACCGAATGATAATTATTTATTGACTTAGTAACATCTAGAACGGAGTTAAACAATAGCGAGTAGAAATAAAAGTGTGCGTCAAAACTCTTTCAATAACAGTACCGTAGGATGAATTTTAAAGAAAGCACCAAAATTTTTTTATCATTTATTTAGGGTTTTTCATCATTCATTTAGGTTTTTTTATCATTCTTCAGGGTTTTAGTGGTTTTTGACTTTAGCTTTAGCGAGAAATATTTCCGAGAGTTGGTAACACTGTGTATAAAAAAAATCATTGGCATTTGGCAGAATTATTCTCTGTAAGAATTATAGAGAAGCCATTCCGAATCAAAGTCGAAAGTGAAGAAATATATCGATATATATAAAAATATCAATATCGGCCTCGATATATTTATTTTTAGGCCTTGTTGTTCAAAAAAGAAGTATGCTATTGCCAAATATATGTAAGGCGTACGGAATCTGTCCCGGGTTCGAAATAGAAAAAAATATCATTTTTGATTCGATTTCGATTATACGGCTAAGTGTCAATATATTTCAGATATATATAAAAGTACTCTTTGATATTTAATAAAAAATATCGATAAATCGATAGTTTACCTTAGGAATCAAAGCCATTTTGCTCAATATAATTTTTATACTTAAATTTAATTTTATTGTTTGATTGTTTCTATTTCTAAGGATACTGAAATTAATTATTAAATACTGACGACTATGAATGAAGACGGCTGCCCTAAAGTTCACGTAGAGTATTGGTACTATTATGTTTAACACATTCACCGCATTAACACTTCTCATACTTACTTTATATATGGATTTTTAAGTACATATTTAACACTTTTTAGTGGAGCTTGTGATTACGGAGGTCATTGCCTTACCTTAGCAAACGCAATCAAAAAATGCACACCAAATGCTGTAGTATTATGCAAGAGAGGCCGCCAAGGTTTGTAAAAACAAAAATCCTTTGATTTCATAAAAAAAATTAATAATTGATAGTTAGTAAATATTATCACCTATTTTCCCTCAAACTCAACCATAAAAATAAAGAGTAAGTTTTTATTCTCTGCTCTAAACTACTACTACTCATTTCACAGTCAAGTCCTAAGTATGGGTTGTTTCACAAATATGCAACTTATGTTAGCAATAATTAATCTTATATTACTCACACATAAAAACTGCCTTAGTAAAAACATTTCAAGTTGGTACAAAGAATACCTAAAATAACAAATCAAACAAACTTTACATCTGCATTAAATTAATGGATCAATTTTGATATTGTTTAAATAAATAAAAGAATATCAATTCATGTATTTGTAAGGAAATTACTTAATGCAATTTTGCTGCACTTTTATTTAAGTTTAAACAATATTTTATACCATTTACAGGTGCTTTTGAAGTAGTCGTAAATAATAAACTTATTTATTCAAAGTTACAAACCATGGCATTACCTGATTATGAAGAAGTAGTTAACGTAGTGTCAGATGTTTCTAAAGGTGAAGAACCAAGAGAAATAAAAGGGCAACAACCAATAGACTGTGTAATATCATAACATTTATTTCTTAGTATTATTTATTATTGACTCAAATTTGTATAACAACAAACAAGTGCACAATAGAATGGCATAAAATATAATGAAAAAACATTTTTTTATTTTATATAAAGAGTCCATAAACCAAAGCTCATTTAAATATTTAATTCACAAGGAAATACTCTTTATTTAAATCTAATCAATGTGATAAAAGAAATCACAGTAGGCCAGGATATTTCAAAGTTTCATCTATTACAGTTTCCTTACCAAATATATATTTATTATTTCTTATATAAAATATTTAATAACAGACTTTCAAAAAAATCTACAATAAGTATTTATTAAATTTGCATAAAAGTTAATTTTTCTAATCAATAGATTAATGAAAAATAGATGTCAAGTTACTTAAATAAAACAAAAATGTTCTGCTATACAATCAAATGAAATATATGTATATTTAAAATACTAGTAACTATTTGTTTTATTTTTTTATGTGAGAAGGTAGCAACCAAGCTGGCAGTTCACTAGATGTTATTTATAACCCCTGCATATGGATATTTGTGGCACCTGTATTGTTGCTGATGTGTTGTAACCTTTTAATAAAGTAAGCTCCAGCTACCTCCCTTACCAGATGAATAATAAAAGTGGTACTTAGCCTAGGACCTGCCCATTCATGCAAGAGTGGAGACAGTTGTGTGAGACCTTGGTAGGTGGTGTTAAAACATTAACATTGGAACTGAATATTTTATGTTTAGTTTGCTTCAACATTTTAATAATTTATAGTAGTATGGATTGTTTCACAGATATGTTCTTGCTAACGAAACATTTTATATAACTAAAACATGATTAAGCAATATGACAACACACAAAATCACAACTTATATTACTCAGACAAGTACAACTTTGCATTAGTATAAAAAAAAATTAGAGTTGGATGCTTAAAAGAATACCTATATTAACAAATCAAACAAACTTTACATCTTCATAAAATTAATATTAATTGATGAATTTCAGTGTCTTTTAAATTAATAAAAACAAGATAATAGATCAATATCTATATGTTTGAAGTGAATATTCAATTAATGCAATTTCACCTGCTTATATCATCCTCGGCAATTATTGGATTTATTTGTGAATTGACTTTTAAAAATGTGTCTTTAATTCCATTTACAGGACCTACATAACTTAAATATATTCCGAACCGCAGTTTACCTGCAAACTGTTCAGATATGGTTCTCAATGGTTCTGCAGTCTTTTCTCCAGTTTCTTGATCAATGCAAATCATGTGGCATCGTTGACATGGTCCTTCCACCTAACAAAACACATTGTTAATTATGAATTGTATGAGACAATTGAGGGATAAACCACAAACAGCTTATAGTTTCTGATATTTAAGGGGATAACCATCTCAACCTTCTGGATCCTAAATACTCAGGCCAATAGGTAGTACATTTAAGATTTGATGGGTCTTGAAGAATTGGGGTCAACTGACTCTATAGGTTTGGTAACTATGCTTTCCCCAATTATGTGTCTGTGGGGGAGATGTTTGTTCCACAGTGGACTCTAAAAGGCTGAAATGATGAATTCTGAATCTTTCTACCTTTGATTTTTAATAAAAACAAAAACTTACTTTAAATTCATGCTTTCCTATTGTCAACTTTTGCCATTCCCTTTCGACTAATTCATCAGTTGTATCAATAATAAGGTTTCCTCTAAAACGATCAGTTAGATTATCTACATCTGCTGTGAATAGTGGGTCTTTAATCCTTTCATATAGCCATCTAACAGAAGCTTTATTTATTAATAGAAATTGGGCCTGATTACTTAGTGATAATAATTTTTGATCTCCTTCATTATTTCTTTTATGAATTCTCAGTTCAGTGTTTGATTGTTTTATTAATCTTAGATAGGATATTCCCAAAGCATTTGAAATCCAATCAGCAACTTCATCACCACAGTCATACCCTTTAACCATATCCATGCACACTTTACTAGTGCATGGTGTTGCAGATTTACTTTTGTTTTCTATATTTGGATCTAATGGTATAGTTATTGGAGTTTTCCCTAAAATAAAATAATAAATTATTATTATATATAATTAATTTCCTTTTTGCATACCAAGGTATTTACATTAATATCTTTAAAAGTAAAAAAGTAGAGTCAACACATGTTGCATCTTGTACTATTATTATAGCAATTTTTTTATAAGGAAGTACAATGCTATCTATACTATATATACTATGCTATATATGACCTCATCAAAATAGCAGGCAGTTAGCAGAGACAAATAGCAAAAAATCAAGGTCTTTAGTGGAATTTCAAAGACTATAGTGAATTTTATAAGAAAATGTGACAAATTGTTGTATCCAGTAGACAATGTTATTGCACCTGGGAGGCGATCATCTAACAGTCTAATCAGCTAACAGTCGGATAAAAGAATACTGTTATTTTTTTTCTGTAATGCAGAAAATTAATACAAACCTTTAAAATGCAGTGTCAACAGTTTATGTTTTAGATCTATCTCCGGTTTTATCATACACATCTGTGTACATTGTTTTTGTGTTAAACACACTCCATTTTCTCTAATAATCATCCATTCTCTGTCGAAATCAAAACCTTTGGATCCTATTTTCCAGGTTGTTTTCACTTTGAATGCACCACATGATTTTATCGGAAATACAGCTATTTCGTCTAAAATCATATCAATCTCTTCAATAACAGTCTCAGGTAGTATGTCATAACCATTCAAGTAAGATCTATCATTTATTATTTTAAGCATTTCTTCTTTATAAGATGTCCTTAGGGATTTATTTGCAGGGGGCTCTTTATGACAAGCCATTATACGCTTTGGTTTTTTAAACTTTGTTCTTACAAAGCATCTGCACACCATTAACATAAATTTATCCACATCATTGAATGTGTTATAGTATCCAAATGATACCCTTATAGCACCTGTTGGGTGTCCATTGATCAAGTCTATTTCATCACCACATTTATGACCAGCTTTGTACATTTCTTTCATTTCTTTGTTGGAAACTGTTAGATGTCTCTGGCATGAACCAGAATTGCAAAAGCAACCTGTTCTTACATTAATGTTAAAAAGGTCTGCCATATTTTGAAACTGAAATAGAATTAATTGTAGAAAGTAGAATAAATATTTAGTTTTTTATTGAATGTAACAAAACGGAACTAAATTTACCTCCACATATCCAACATAAGATCCGTCTTCTCTGAGAAGATTAAATGTAACTATCCCCCCTTGTGTTTCTAGATCTGAAAAGTCTGTATCCATGTATAGTACAACTGCCTTCTCTCCATTAGGATGTTGCAGTTCGTTGAGTTGATTATATAAATCTTTAGCCAAATAGAAAGTATGGTGAGCTATGGTATCCATAATGTGATTATTTATTGTTTTAGGTATTAATCTATGTAATGTGTCAAAGCAATGTTTTAAAGCCAATATTGCTAAAAATGGCAGGGTACCATCTTCTAGCCTGAAAATAAAACCAAAATGTTTATAATTTAAAAATGATTTTTAGATGTTAGTGCACATAAATTAAGTCATTAAAATATACTAGATATACCTTTCATGGAGAATTTTCCTTTTTACATGGAAATGTTCCCCACTTAGAACAATATCAACAGTACCACCTCCAAAGTATCGCTTTTTACATAGGACATCAGCACTTCCGTTTTTTACTAATAATGCACCCAAACCAGTTGGATATCCAAAGATTTTGTAAAATGATAAGCAAACAAAATCGGGTTGTGTCTTAGACAAGTCTAAATTGTTTGTAGGGACGTAAGATGCTGCATCAAGTAAAACATACCAATTGCAATTCACTTTGCATAAATGTTTCATCAAATATCTATTTAAGCATCCATTTTTTATATTCTGTATACAATCTAAGGGATATTTAAAACCATTGAAGTTGCTTTCTGCTGGGTATGCAAGAAGAATGTTTCCATCAGTTTTATTTTTTGCAAAACCTGTTGTTGATGGATGAGGTTGTTTAATAGATTTAAGAAAATTTTCGTGAGATATATTTATGACATCTACATTCTTTTCTTCAACTATTTCTCTTAGTCCGAGCACAGATGTGTGATTTTCATTAAGATACACAAATGACCCACAATCAAAGCCTTCACTTGTGTTAGATGCAAATTGAAATGATTCTACAGTCAGCTTTAAAGATTGTGTTGCACCTGAAGTAAATATTACTGAATATTTAGATGGGTCTGTATGAAAATGATTTAGAACCAAGCATCGAATCTGCTCAATACAATCTTTGGTGAATCTATCAGTGTGAGGGTTCATATAAACATTATTTAATAAATCTTCATGCACAAGGTGAAGCAATGATTGTGGATATAATGCTGCTCCTGCATGCTCCAAGTAACACCTGTCTGAAAAATTAAACACATGAATGAGAGAATGAAATGATCATTGAATATTTGTTTTTATTAATGTTGATTTAAAACATAAAAAGGTAAAATGTAATTTTAAAGTAATAATTTTAAACATATAAAGACACATTTTTACTTGATAATACATATTACAATTATTTTTCTTAATTGTTTAAAAATATCACAGCAAAAATGACATCTCTGTTCTAGAACTTTATAATTTGTTTTCATAGTTTAGGATTATATAAATATAGGATATTCATTCTCATTTTAAATCATCTATTATATAGGGTAAATGAAGAAATATTATTAGCAGCGGTAATCAAAATTTAAAGCTTTATCAACAGAATTTCTGAAAAAATTTAAGATTGAACATGTTTTAAATATAAGATTTCTAGAGCAACGTTACCTTTAACATCTAATATTAGATACTTCTAAATAAAACTAAGCAATAATTACCTTCTAATCTTGTAAAGTCCGAAGTAATGTTCTGCATGTGTTCGCAGTCAATTACTCTACTTAATGTCGTCATTTCGGGTCTTTTTCCTAAAAGAATTCCAAATTTAATTTTAAAATGTTACTATACAAGTATCAGATTTCTAATATCTAATTCTGTTGTAATACAAAATTTGTCTGATAAAATAATACCAGATAATTACATGCTCGACCTTGTACTACATGAACTGTGAGATCGCAATGCGTTCTTGCCACGATTGTTGGAAAACATTTATTATTTCTGTATTACATACAAGAAACAGATAATGTGTAAACAGTAAACAGATGTTCGGATTGAAAAGACATGACTTTGACATAATAATATGAATATGACATTATTTTTTTTAAAACGGCCCCGAAGTTGCGTTCCTTGTCGTTTGTGTTAAGGAATGTTGTCAATGTCATGTTCGAAATTTTAATTTTGAAAAATTATTTGGGCAAATTTAAGGCAAAATAATATAAATACGTAAATAAAATTTTGTATGATGTTGTCTTTAATTTAGACATTTTTCTTTAAATATTTTAAATTATTGTTAACCTGCCATAGCATATTATCCTCTGTCACGTTCACATGTATTATATCATATGATGCAAAGCAAATCATTTTTATTTTTTTTATTTTTAAGTATGGACATACGTCATGTTGAATAAAATATCATCGAATTATACGTTCACTTTTTCGGTCTCTCCTAAAGCGGTAATGTTTATTTATTTAAGCTATGAAAGATTGGTGCATTGAAAATAAAAATATTTTTGTACTCATGTACGCCCGGAAGAAGTTATACTTCTTTAGAGTTAACACATTATAAGCAATAAATAACACTTTATATAAATAACTTGAAATTATTGGTATATGTCAAAAAGGTGTTACCATGGTAATGCCATGATTGCTTCGCTTTTTGCACCGCTTTTTGAGGGTCGGTGTGCGGGCGCATTGTAAATTGTAAAGCAATGTTGTGTGTTAAAGGTATTATAATATTAGTGATTGTTTAGATTAGATAATAACACACTCTGGAAATCATTTGAACTCTCCAAGCTGTTTCAAATAATAATACAAGACTAATATGTTGTATACGTAATTCACTGTGAAATAACGGTTTAAAAAAGAAATAAAGAGGCCCGCTGAATATAGGAATTTAAATAAAAATTAAAAGTCCTTATTCAGTGTTTACCTACGGTAAGGTGTCAATTCCTTTGTATAATTTCCTAGTTTTCAATTCAGCGTTCTAAGCTGTACGTTATGTGTCTGTGCACATTAAAGTACTATATGTCGGCGTTTTTTTAAAATTATTCTTTATTTAAATAAATAATAACGTGTTTTTTTTATATTAATATTAACAGTTACATTCAATCTATCTTATAAAATGACTTTTGTGAGATAACCTTAAGTTAGGAAACTAGCCAATATTAAAATACATTTTATTCTGTTTTTTTGAAGTTATATTCCTTTTGGCGCGGTTGGAAAATTGATGAGAATAAAATTTTTACGATGCGCGCACACACCGACCCACAAAAAGCGACATGATGCTTGGTTATCAATTTAATCTTGTCAACCAAGACAAGTATACAGCGTGTCGTTATCACCGCGACAATAAATGAACACACATATAGAGGATAACTTTATAAAATTGTATTAAACATTTACATTCTTTAAACATCAATATTTACCGAGTTATTAAATTTTCCAAAACAATCAATTTTAGAACACCCTTACGTGTAAAACTGTAACGTAAAGTTCATTTGTAAAGGTCACAAAGCATATGAATGGGTTGAATGAATTTAAAAGAGACAAAACATACTGTTAGAAGGAGAGGCTTGTAATGCGACGCTGTGGCGCGAGTTGTATAGGATGTTACAAATTTTGTTTCTTTTTTACTTAATTAGTTTGTTTGAAAAATATTTTTTTTTTTAATTATGGATTTTGTTTAACCTTAATATTTTTTTATGATTATTGGCAAGTGGCGTTAGACCTGTGTTCATTTATTGTCGCGATGGTAACGACACGCTGTATAATCAAAGGCAACCAATAACAACTTTTTGACATTTACAAATAATTCCAAGTTCTTTAAATAAACCGTTATCAATTGCATTGAATGTCTTTACGCTAAAGAAGTTCTTACGTACTTACATAAGTACACACATACGTTTTTGTATTATTTAACATACCTTATTTGTTTTTAATCTTAAATATAAACATACGTGTTTAATAATTGTTATCATAATGTATGTATACATATTATATAATCCTTATATAGCTAGCACCTACACTTCTCTCTCACTAACTTTCCGGTTGGCTAGTAGAAAATGCCTTATGGCATTAACCCCACCGTTTGTACCAGTTAGTACAAAAAAGTGTGCAAATAAATAAATAAATAAATATACGTTTACTTGTATTTCATGGTAATATGTTCGTAATTAATGTACTGATGGAATATTATGTAGGAAGGAGACATACACAGAGGCACCTTCGAAGGCACCGCCTTACTAAATTGCGTTACAGCAATTTAATTATTGCTTTTATGGAGGGCTTTTAGTAGCTTTTAGCAGCAAGCGGGCGACATGATCGACTCTTCTTAAGTGAATTGACGTCCACGATAGAGGGTATTCGTGTACCTACTATTTTACACTAGCAATAAAAGTTTTCACTTTAGTATTTCGAAGATTTTTCCATAAAATTTAGAAACTAATTTTAAATGAATTATTAACCGATAACTTTAACTCGTTACTTTTTGTTGATAAATAATTACAAACTGTCCATGTGTTGTGGGATTCGAACTTGCGTCTTCTGGTTTCGCACCCATATGTTTTACAACTAAGCTAAGCGGCCGATGACTCACGGTACGTAAATCTTGACATATATGTTCGTTATATTGCATTTTAAGCAAAGCTTGGTGCTTCTAGTGGGTAACTTAAATGATAACTGTTAGTGGGTTGGTGGTATTTTTGCAAATTCCTTTGGGTTTTTAAAAATACCACCAAGTGTTGAGTACTCCATAGTAAAGTACTTTACTATGGAGTGGAATGACACATTTAGGCCATCGAGGATCTATGTGGACCGGGAACCCGAGAGCCGTTGACTGTATTAATCGTGGGGGTGCGGTGAGAACCGCTCTGAAACGCGGGTGTACCTTGTGTAGGTATTTGTTGTGTTGGTTTCGTCGCGATCGTAGGCGAGGATGAATGTGCCTCCAAAGAGGCCGAGAAGACCCGACGACGATTATTTGGTCTTGTATGCTAGCACTATTTGTCAGCACTGTTTATCAGGGGATTGGTGGCACTTTGGAGGCGAGTGTCTAGTTCGGTTGTTTGGGTGGTTTGTTCGGTTTGCAAATGCCGATAACAACGGCTTCTTAATATGTTATAGCAACATATAAAACATATAAATATAATCACTGCATAACCAAGTAATAATTTCAAAATCTATAAAGATTTAGCACATTTAGAAGTAACACAAAGCTTCATAATAGCAACTAAGTATGCTTGAGAGTAATA